ACCCCATTTTTCACTCAGCCCCCCCTCTTTCATATTACAGTATTTCACATCCAACTCTGTTCTTGGAAGTACAAGGAAGATGTACGGTATATACCAGATATTTATCTCTGAAAGAAAACCAGTACACAGCAGGATTCTAGAATCAGCTCTTCAGTTCACAGAATGAGTTCACAAACTTCATCTGAAGAAAATGATGATACAGTCCATTCCACTCCATTCCTTTATTTATTTGTTCAATTTATACCCTGCCCTCCCTGCTGAAGCAGGCTCAGGGCGGCTTACATAAAAGATAAAAAACACACAAATAACAATTGTAACAATCATAAAACTTTCTAAAACAATTCAGTATCATAAAGTGCTAGTAACAGATCTATACTAATATTGCTTAAAGATGGCGGTAACAGTCATGTCAGTATATTCAGTGATCTGTCTTGATGGTCAGCTCATTGGTCTATTTATGTATATGCGGCAAACACAGACTGTAGATGGTGAAACCAGGGGACAGGGCTCTATACTTTCCAGTCGTTGTTGGAGGTGGCTCCTTGATTGAAGGCCTGGTGGAAGAACTCCATCTTGCAGGCCCTGGGGAACTGTAAAAGATCCCGCAGGGCCCTGATCTCTTCTGGGAACTCATTCCACCAGTATGGTGCAGCCACCAAGAAGGCCCTGGCCCTGGTTATGGCCAGTCTGGCATCTTTGGGACCCAGTGCTCTCTGGGGAATGTATGGGGAAAGGCGGTCCCTCAGGTCGGCCCCTGACCATAAAGGTGAGAACCAGCACCTTGAAGTGAACTCAGTATGCTATCGGCAGCCAGTACAATGCCTTCAGCACAGGCTGGATGTGCTCCTGTATAGGGAGGCCCATCAAAAACCTGGCCGCAGCAGTTTGCACTAGGTACAGCTGGATTTGAGACAAGGGCAGCCCCATGTAGAGAGCATTACAGTAGTCCAACCTTGAGATGACCATTGCATGGATCACTGTTGCTAAGTCGTTGGGGTTGAGGAACGGAACCAGCTACCTAACCAGCCAAAAGTTAGGTCAGTTTATACCATCAACAGAATCAAATTGGACTGTTCAATTTCAGGCTCTTTGCATGTTTTAGCTACACACCCCCCCCCCAGGCCTCTCTGTAAATCCAAAGCTAGCATTTCAGGTGAAACTGTTCAGACTAGCTTTTTTCCTTATATGCTTTCTTTCACTGAGCAAGGAGAATTTTTTCATGAAAGAGCATTCAAACATGCAAGCCTAAAGCAGTACAATCTAGGAAAAGCTTTGCCACTCGCTGCTGTCGATTTGTCTCTAAACGGGGGCGGGTGTGTGTGTTTGTATTTAAAAAGTAGTAGACCAGCTTGTATGATAATAACCCAGTCTAAGTAGACACTACTGACCTTGATGAATCAATGGTTTTATTCAGTATAAGGCAGCTTCATGTGTACAGATTGGTTAGTGAGGGATCCCCAATCTCCTTGAATCTGCGAGCACCTATGGCATTCTGACACAGCCTGGTGAGGGCTGCCACAAAATGGCTGCCATAGGAGGTGAAGGCAGTCCCCAAAATAGCTGCCGCAGCTTACCTTCAATCATGCAGTGAAGATCCTTCTGAACCTGCCCAACATCTTCAGAGGTCCTGCTTCAGGTACCCCTGCTTTCTGAGCTGAGCAGCAACCCAGTTTGAGGCCTTCTTGGTCTTGGCGCTCTTGATCTCTTTCCCAAGGGAGATTTGTCTGTCCCCTTCTGTTGCCATCTTCCACCAGCAGGTGAAGACTTTTTTTTTGCTTTGTCTGGCATTCCCAAAATCATTCTCTCTTCCTAACCAATGTTTTATATGTATTTTAACTGTTTTATTTTAGTTTTTTAAAAAGTTGATTTAATGAGTTCTGCTTGGTAGGAGTTTTTATTTTAAAATTTTATATGTATTTTATCATGTATATTTTAAATTGTTCATCATCTTGGCAGCCCTCCTATGGCACTAGGCAATGCATTTCCTGGCTCTCCCCCAAAGCAAAGAGATAGTCCCGTCTTTCACCTGCTTTGTTGGAGTAGGAAGTACTGTGGAAGTGTATGCAAGGCATCACATTTGTGTCTGCAGACACAATTTTGGAAACAGCTTTCTCCATCATATGATGATGCTTGGCTTAGAGCAGTGGTGGCGAACCTATGGCACGGGTGCCAGAGGTGGCACTCAGAGCCCTCTCTGTGGGCACGTGTGCTATCGCCCCAGCCAGGCCCAGACCATCATTAAAGTGTGGAATTCTCCGCCAAATAATTTTAAGTAAATGAAAGCATTTGGGATTGCTTTCCTTACTTTGTTTGGATCATCTTAAGTTAATGTATGAGTTGTTTTTTCTAAAGTAAAACCTCAGTATTCAGGTTAAATTGCTGTGTTGGCACTTTGCGATAAATAAGTGGGTTTTGGGTCACAGTTCGGGCACTCGGTCTCTAAAAGGTTCACCATCACTGGCTTAGAGCCTCCTAACACTTTGTAGAACCTTCCAGTATTTTGTGATTGGACATGATGATCATCAGCCATTTTGTCATGGCACCCATTCTCAAAATTCTAAAAGTGCCCACGAGTTCAAGAAGGTTGGGGACCCCACTCTAGATTTAGTAGTAGGGGTCCATACTAGAGATGTGAAGGCCTGGAAAAAACCCGGAAAAATTAGGGGGAAAACCGGGGTTTTTTTCTGAAGCCTTTCCCCCCCCGAAAAATTGAAAAAAGAAAAGAAAAAAATTGATTATGGAATGTTTTATTTTAACATGATGAATAAAATATTTTAAGACAAGGTGTTCAAATATTTTCCAAATCATTTCTAAAATATATATATATGGTATCAGATTGATCTAATTTCTGTGCACTGAGGACAAGCAAGTCCTAGGTTACAAACTGAACTCTCCAATGCAAGAACAAGATGCATTTCTTCCTTTAGGAGGTGCTATTGTCAGAAGAAAATAAAAAGGTTTCAGTTTTGTTTTTGCATGTGGGTGGGTATTCTGTTTGTAATAATTGTTTGGATACAATATGCTAGTTGTGATAATTTCATGCCAAGTAAAAATGTCAATATTCATATTTTATGTTCCTAAAGTAATAGAATGGCTTTTAATCTAGAAAAGACAAAAGAAATGCTAATGTAGCATTTTTTTCCAATTTTTCTGAAAATTTCCGTTTCCCCCCCCGGAAAAAACTGGAAAAAAATGTGTTTTTTTCCAAGCTTCAAAATTTCCGGAAATTTTACATCTCTAGGACTCCATACTGCAGCTCTGTTCCATGCCAACACCAGTCCTTGAAAAACTCGGTTAGCAGTGATGTGGCGAAGAGCCACAGTATGGCTTCCTCCCACATACTCCAGAGATTCTGGTGCTGCAGGCAGTAACAACACAGCTGTGGCAGCCACACCACTCACTACAACATCAGTACTGTTCCTGTAGCATATAAATTGTGCTCTCAGATAATAAAAATGGTTTTAACCATTCTAATATTTACAAGGCATATTTAGATTGTAAAAAATAAAAGCCAAGTTTTATTACAAAGGAACTGTTTATTTGGAGATTCTGATGAGGGGGAATTCTCTGACCACATTACAGAGAAGTTGCATTTTTGGTCTTCCAAAGAACAAAAGATATTAAAGTCAGAGCCATATGTGTAAACAAAAACTAATTGACTGCACTGATCAAACCATAGCTTACATAATGCAAATTCTCTAATATCAACAGTGAGGCTTTTTTAAAAAAAAAGTTAAAATGAAGAATTGCATGGAGGATTTTCAAAGCACAGGAGGGAAGAAAATAAAAACCACATGTTCCTGTAAAAGTATACCAATGACATTGTTCAGCCAGTGCCTTGCAGTGTCTTTAAGAGTACAGGCCACAATTCAGAGAGCTCCTTTCAGTATGTGCACTGGCTTTTGCCTTTTATTTCCTCTCACGGTAGACTCCCACAGTACCCATCAGAAATGCTCCTGAGATTCAAAAGGGCTTTTCTGTGTGCTGCGAAGGGAAAGACTTCCCTGCATGCAGAGGGTGGTATCCTATCAAAGTGAAAGCCACTCAGGCCACCCAACCAGAGACAATCTCTCTCCCGTAAAATGTCTCCATGAAGCTTTATTTGCAGTGGTGGCACGTCTGGAAAGAGACATTAAGATTTTAGGTTGGAATAATTAAATTAAATGCCTGGTCTTTTTTTTTTTTTTACAAAACACATCTAGAGTTGAAAGTTCCAATGAACCCCACTTCTTCACAAGAAAAGTCCTCAGTCACAATACCCCAGCTGGTGGGCTGGGTTACATCTCAATATGAACAACCACAAAAGCAGTACCATCCTAAGCAGTCACACCCTTCTAAGCCCACTGACTTTAATGTACTTAGGTGTAACTCTGCTTAGGATGGCAATGAAAAGAGTCACAAAGCTGGACTTCTCTAAAGTCCAGGTTTCTTTGTTCCACCAATGTTTCAAGATGGGTTACCTACCCATAACAGAATTGAACATCAGCCAATGATTCTGTGCCCCTGTACATAACCAAAAACATTATAAAATGGTTCTATGACTCTTAATACAGTGTATTTCAAAACAGAACCTTGTGAAATAGGGAAGTGCTAGTACTGTCTCCTTACAGAAAACTGGTGATTATCCCTCTGTCTTCAATTCAGGCTCACGCACCCGTCTCTGAATGTGCCAAAGTGCAGGATCAGTCTACGTGATTAAACTCAAAGCCACATAGACATGGAAAGCAGAAAACATTGGACTCCTTGCAGGCTCGTAGCTACAGTGGGGCATTTCGGGGCCTGGCCCCCCGACTTCCTGACAAGGCCCCCCCCGACTCCCAGCCCCCAGTCCCCCTGGCTCTCTGGGCCACCCAGAGGACTACCAACTCTCTGGGCTGCCCAGAAGACTCCCCACCGCCTCCCCTTCCCCAAGCATGGCTTGCTTCCCCGCGTAGGCAGGCAGAGTGCGAACACTGCAAAAGTGAAAAAAAATTATTTTATTTTGCTACATCAGTGCCCCCTGACTTATTTAAAGGCCCCCTGAATTACAAAATCCTGGCTACAGGCCTGACTCCTTGACAGTTTGAGTCTAGAATGTTCAAGAATCTCCTTTTCCAGGGTTAGAGAACCTGAGGAGTCTTAATTTAGAAAAGCCTCCCATTGGAGAAAGTTTGTATCTCAAGGGCAGAGCACAAGCTTTGAGTCCCAGGTTCAAATGCCAGCTAATAAAATTATTGGGGGGGGGGAGAGAACTTTGCTTAGAGCAGCTACCAGTTAAGCTAGATAACATTGGCTGGCTGGAGCCAGAATTTGACTCAGCAGGCAATCACTTTGTGTGTCCCATTTCTGACAGCAGATTCAAGCCTTTGCTTAGACTGCAACATTTGTTAAGTGCTCACCTGTGAAGGATTTAGATGAACTGAGGTGTATCTTTCAATCACAGTCATTCTTCACTCTTGCACATATGAAGTTTAGGTCTAAACAGTTTTGGAGGTGATGCTCATATCCAACCCCCCCCCCAAATTCTCAGCTACAGCTGGGAACAAAAGTACCCTTATCAACCAATGGTTTAAATATACATGGCTTTTATTTTCTCTCCTTCATTTCAATTGGAAAACATGATGTTTGTGTAATACTTGGTTTATTTTTTAAAAAGAAAGAACAAAAACAGATGAACAACAGAGTCCTTCTTTTCAACAAACCCAATGAAAAAACTCTGGCTGAATCCCTATTTGTGATTTACATGTAGAATGGTTTTCACTTTAATGCTTCATCCTTGCTAACAGTCTGGAATACACAGGAGCTGAAAAAGGAAAAAAAAATCAATGAAAAAAGCAACTGCTTAATGATCACTGCTGGTTACAACTCAAAGGGGGCTCCTCTACTTGAATTAAAATCAATAGTCATTATGTTTTCTCTGTTTCAGTTCAGTTCTCTGCAACATTGATCAGTTTAATAAAGGATGAGTCACTCTAAGCAGGCTTTGGAATATGCCCACCGCATTGGTTTTCAACACTGAGTCCATGATTGCAGCCTTCTCTGAAGTTGTTGCACTTCACTGTGATTGGATTCTTTAGGCCACAACCTAAAGCTCCATGGAGCTCTGATGGGTCCGTGAAGTTGCACCAGAGCAGGGAATGCTATGTGCCTGTTCCTTGCAGCAGAGAGAATGAAAGGGTCCTTGTGCATCCGGCTGTGCACCAAGACCCAGAAGTGTACACTAAAGCTGCTGATCAGCAAGTGGCAATGAACAGGTAGAGTCTAGATGTGGCAGAATGCACTATACCATTCAAGTTTTGCAAGGTGTTTTTTTTTTTGGGGGGGATCACATTTTTAATGCTCCCCCCACATAACCTTGCTGGCAGGAATGGAAGAAATCAGGATATAGAGACTGGGCTACAGCCTTTCTCCATGATGGTCTGGTTTTAACATACAAAGGGGTTTTACAGATTGGGAAGCATTCAAAAATGGCATATGCCAGCTACAGTCTCCAGTGGCACAGTCCACTCTACCAGCCAGTATTTTGCCACTTCATTTTGTTGTTGCATGTGAAGCCTAGGCTTTAAGCGATAGCAGGCAGAAAAAAGAATCCTGGGAGAGAACCTTGGTATGAAACATTTTGCTATTGGCAGTCAGAGCGGACAATCATATAATCATATACAATGAGTGATCAAATCACAATACAATAGTTGATTAATCCATGAAGTTTGTGTGTGAAAGAACACACAACTGCAGTTTATTGGGGTTCCGCTTTTGCCTCCAACAGGCACTTTAACCATCCAGTGGGATTGCAGAAGTTAACAAGCACTGACTAAACACTTTGCAAATGATGAATTATACATGGACAGGAAAAAGTGAGTAGGGGGAAAGAAGAACTCCAAACTATATCTACTTCCATAAACTGTGAAAAATAAATATTTTGAAACCTGGACAATGTATTCTATTTATATCTGCATAGCTGACAGACCAAAACCACTCAGATATTCATGCCAGGACTACACTCAAGAGCAAAACGGAGAGCGGTTTTCATCATCGACCTCAACAATATTTGAAAAGATTGATGACATGACAAAGTAGGAAGGTACATATTTGGGTAGGAAAGGAATATGTTTGGACAACATGAGTTCCCTGGGTAATATCTAAAAACCACAATCCCTCCCTCCAACCTTGTATCTTAACTAGTAGCCAGCTGTTCTGGAGAAAAGGAAGTAAGCTCTGAAGATCTGGTCATCTGAATATGGTTAAAAATGATGCTCATTAGCTAAAACCAATTCAAGCTATTTTCTATAATATTTCAGGCAAGTACAGTTGTATCTATCTAGAGAGGAAGAGGAGAAGGCAGGGTAGTAGGCAGAATAGTATGCACCTACAGAATAACTACAGCTTAATATATAATCAAGGGAGTCCAGAATCATGTCAACCTTACTTACCCAACCGAGCACTCCTTTGAGAAATCTGCAAAAGAAAAATAAAAGTTTAATTTGCCCCGTTTAACCCCCCCTACATTTATATACAGCCATTAAACAAAAGTAGAATAATCTTTCTTGCATATTCATCAAGAGATTAAGAGCATGTCTTAAGCTCAGGAGTGCTCTCCCCCTCTGCCTCTTTTAATTGTGTAGAACATAACTGATTGAAAAGATATTATGTTAATTTGAATGCAGGATCTACGTTGCCTTATAATCCAAGCCAGGTGGCTCAATAGCATAGAACACACATTGCATGCAGAAGTACACACATTGCGATGAGCCAGTTTACACCAGCAAGGCGGGATATAAATTGAAAGTAAATAAATAAAATAAATAAATAAGATCTCAAGTTCAATTCCTGGCATCTCCAGTTAAAGGATCTCAAGTAGGCAGAAGCCTGTCTCTTCCTGAGATACTGGAGAGTTGCTACCAGTCAGAGTAGACCAGCAGTATAACTTGGTATGAGGCAATTTCTTTTGGAAGTGTCCCTACATGTTGGCTGAGCATTATGGTTACCTGGGATGTTGCAGAAGCATGCCTGAATATTTCCATTGCAGGATCTGCAGGCTCATCACCTCTTTCATTAGGCCTAAAAGCTAAGGGACACAATTCAAATCACGATTAAGCAAACACAAATATTGTCTTCTTCCACTAATTAAAGAGAACAGAGGCCATATCAAAGATACACTGGGTGTTCCATGATTCCCCAAGCCTTCTTTTTCTTTTAGGGTCAGGACCCATGGCATGGGAAGGCAGTTTAAGACCCCCTACATTAAAATGGCTCAGTAGAGGTGCTGGTTCAGGCTGCAAATTAGTACAGGTGGAAGGCTTAACCTTTCTACCTAGTCCCAACCTGAATCAGGCTTCCCACACAGATCTTTGAAAAGGAAAAAAACCCACAAGAGCTTCGGAGCTCATTCACAGAAACTATCACAGGCAGTTTGGTAGTACTGTTTTGTCTTAAATATTCTCATTATATGTTCATAGTTTTATTGACATGAGTCATCTTGAATATAGTGAGGAGGCTAGATACAAAGGTCTATGGGTAAAATCAATGGAAGTGTTTGGTAAGTAACCCTACAGTAATGCTACAGCATGTGCCTTCCTGTCCAAGCAATGGAACATTAAAATTGTATGTGGAGACCTAGGAAATGCCACACATCATCCCTCATGCTCCCTTAGTTTGGGGTTTATGTACAACCCCTCTTCCACTCAGCCATAAAAATTATACCCACACCATTATCAAGGAGTATGGAAAGGGTGCCAGCTGCAATTTGCCGGCATTTGGTGGCAAAGAGGACAAGTGGGGTTGCTAGCCTCTGGTCAGCGGAAAAGGAGACTTGGTCTATAGGGATGTATATCATCCAGCAGGGCTGGAGACACCTGTTTTGGCATGAAAGAGGAGATGGGGTCAAGAATTGGCCAATGGGAAGATGGCTTAGATGACAGGGACAAGGAATGTGCAGGTTTGGAAGTCAAGATATACAAGGCTGACACAGAGACTAGAATATGACAGGGAATGACAGGGAATGTTTAGATGCTAGCTACTCGTTTACTACTGCACTCCCAATGATGAGCTCTTTTGGTACAAAATGAAGAATTTGGCTACATGGCATCTGTTATTTGGGATGCCTAACTTGTTTGAGTTTGAGGCCCTGGACTAAATACTACTGCCTTAATAATTCACAGAGCTACAGAATGGACAGGATTCTGTGCAGTGTTTATATTAAAGGTCTACCAGGAGATTTGGGTAGATTTTAAGCGTCTCAATTAGAACTCCATAAGAGATGTTGCTGCTTTTCACTATCCAGATACACACTGTCCAAGTGTGTCCAAAGTCCACATGAGCTGCTGCATATATGAAATGGATCCTAGAAACCACACTTGTGACCTCCAAATTATTTACCCTGAAGCAGTCTTATTTACCTTAAAGCCATGACAAGGGACTCCAATTGCACAAGTACAGTTTGTAGGGGAGTCTCTGTACATTAAATTTCTATACAGACTCCTCCATACACATAAGCAAGTCTCTGGACTTCACCCAAGGAAGACCTACAAAACATCTCTTATACGTGCAAAAGACCAAATTATTGTCAAAAGAAATAATAATTCATGGTATTGTATAATCAGTTTCCTATTTTCCTCCCAACATCTTCAGTCAACAGGTATACATTGCATTTCTACGTTTCATCTCTGAAGAGTCAACCAAAGAACTTTAATGCTGCATGCCTGCCCCACTGGAATGAATGAAGAATTTGGAATGAACAAGGAATCTGGAGGCTGTTTCTCAGGAAGGTTAAGATCTTCTTGCTTATTTCCTTCTGCACAGGAAATGAACTTCCTTTCACAAACTGGCATCTCACTGCTGTCTGGCAATACTGATATCCTTAACAACTGAGGAAAGACTACCAAACATGGGAGGAGGAAAAACACTGTCTTTTATGCTGAATCCAATGTAACCTACCTGGTGGCTGTAAAACTGTATTCACAGCATAAATCACACCATTAGTGGCCATAATGTCTGCCTCAGCAACAGGCTCCTTGTTGACATTTATTACATTGTTTTTCTGAAGAAAAAGTAGGATAAATGATTAGGTAATACATATAAGCACAAAGGAAGAAAAACATGAAACATCATAGAAAATACAAACATCAACTACTCGTCTATCCTATACTGACAGCATTTTTATGAACTCTTCCAGAAGCCTCTAGATAACCACCACACCAGCAACTAGGGAGCATTAGGCTATGACTGTCAACAGTATGTTCTGAATTTGTGAAGATTGGAAAGAGCCATTGTAGTGCAGTGATTAGAGTGCTATACTAAGATCTGGGGTATCCAGATTGAAATTCAAACTCTGCCGTGCTGGGCAAGTCACACACTCTCAGCCTAAAATACTTCACAGGGTTGTGATGAGGACAATGTGGAGGGGAAGAGAACTATGTAAGCTGCTTTAGGCCCCCACTGGGGAGAAAGGTGGGGTTTAAATGGAGAAGGGAGGAATGGAGGGAGGGGGAAAAAAACTGATATGGCCATATCACATATAAAGTGTTTAGGGCACAGGATAAGGGGAGAAGCAGTGTTAGCATTGTTTCCTAACCACACCCACTGGAGTTTCTTATCCAGTCTGGCTCTCTGCATTCCTGGCTTTGCTCTCCTCTCACCCCAGAGGTCTTCAGATGATACCCTGCACCTTGGCTTCTATCAGAGAATAGGGTGAGAAATGAAGTGTTGGGCTCAAACTTATTTTGCAACAGAAAGCCTTGTAAGACCTCCTCTGCTGCCTCCACCACCAAGAGAAGTCAATGAATGAGCCTGGAAGAGACACTGTGTACTTGAATCGGGGATTACCCTACAAGATAAATCAGGCGAGGAGCTTGGGAAGACATGTGCAAGCTCCAGGCCTGCTCCCAACCTTTTCTTCCTGCCCCCAGCAGAATTTCAGGAGACAAATATTTTTTGCTACTCAGTATTAAGAATAGCTTTGTTCTTTTTCTTTACAAAAATGCATTCTTGCAATCATGAGACCAGCAGGAGGGGAAACAAGTAAGAATCAAAATAAGCTATTTAACAATAAAAAGACTGTCCACTTTTCAAGGTATTTGTGGAAGATCAGCCCAGTAATGTCTTGTATCAGCCATCTGGGATGGAAAACAGATTGCTCCTGATGTGAGAGCTTAGTGTTTGAAGCTTCCTCGGGTTCCATATGGCAATGTTCAATCAGTCAGACCTTTATGGTCCCCTTTGAGTAGAAGGGATGTAAACTTGGAAGCAGCTCTTGAAAGTGCATTAAAATGGAGTGATTGAGCATGAAATAAAAACAAAAAATAAGGACTTACGGTGCTGACTTCAAGTTTATCACCCTGCAGGGACTTCAGCCGTACAACAGCGCCAACCGCTCCACTAACCAATATTTCATCCCCAATGTGGTACTTCAGAATGTTGGCAAGTTCTTTAGCATTACCTGGGGAAGAAAAGTCAACAAGCATGCATGAATTTTTATAGTTTCTTTCCCATGTTTCATGATACCTTAGAAAGAAACTAAAACACCAAACCACAATCTTGGGCAGTGAGTTCAGCAGTTGGGGGGGATGCAAAACTGTTTCCGCTCCCACTAAAAATATGCAGCTGATCCATGGAAGTGATTACATTCTTATTTCTCTACAGTACCGATTTCCAGATTCTCTTGGATGCCAGTAAGTGCTCCTTCCAACTAATCAATTGCTGCTTAACACATGGCTGTTGAAGCATTACATTTAGCTGAAGGGCTATGATGCTGAGAAATGAATAGCAAGGACTGTATCAGACATTCTTTCATTTAGCAGTTGAACTGCAAATGTGAGTGATCTCAGCATCAGAGATTTGATGGAACCACATTCCTGCTCCATGCATAAGGTCAAATGAATGTGCAGAGGTGGGTGGGATACAGTGTGCATAATCTCAACTCCCTCACCTCTCCCATTCACTGGCCATGGAATTTGTTAACTGAACAAAACTATCAGTACACAGCCTTTTAATCACACACTTGATTCCAGATTTCACAAAGAAAAACAAAGAATTTTAGGCTCTTTTGCCGTAACCATGGTGGATACTTTACTTTTGCTCAGCTGCAAGTGGAAACCTGAGCTACCTCATTGTAAGTTATATGCATTTAGGCACTAATACTTCTCTACATCACTTCAAGTGTCACATACAGTGGCATCCTTTAGTTGTCACTTAAGAATCATTTGGAGGAAACAGTAATCAAGTCATCAGCCAGTTACATATACCATTCACTCAGCTGGGGCCTTCCATGTATTTACAAATCTTTACCTTCTCTAACTGATAGTGGGGTGTAACTGAACTTGAATGACAGCTATTACGTGGCTCTAAGCCCCATTTAAATCAGTAGTAAACACTACCCCATACAAAATTTAAGCCACAGTGTCAGTCCAGTTAAGACTTCTGTGGATTCTTGTCTTTAGAAACACAACACAACTTTCATACAGCACAAAGACCATCCCAGAATCTAACAGGCTTTCAGTCTCCAAATCAGGTTCCAATACCATGTTTGCTTACAGCACAATGACTAAGTAATCACAAGTTTTATAATTTGTGGAATACCTGCTCCATTAAGTGTCAAGAAATAAAACTGATTAAATAAGGCACCACAGCCACTTCTTTCCTTTCCCCTCTTACATAAGTCTGCCATAGATTCCCACCAACTGTGATTCACTGTTTCTAGAACCATAAGCTAAATATTTTGCTTATGAAGTTCAACAACTTTCAACTGTTCACATCTGGGACATTTCAGTTCCACAGCTGCTTATGGTAGCTACAAATCAGTTATGAAATATTTGTGCATTAAGCAATAGAACAAATGTGCAGACTGCTGCGCAACGAACATAAAAGGATAACCAACTCCCAGAAGCAGATACTGCGTTTTGATGTCACAGACTGGTTGGGCTTTAGACAATGAAAAGACATTGCTATCAACCAGCTCATATTTTTTCCAAGCCACAACTATATTCCAGCTCAGGAGAGAGAACGTTTCAACATTTATGTGAAAGATGGTTGAACATGACCACATACTTATGCCAAACAGAGCATCAAGCTGGTGCTTTTCCAGATGGCTTTGAGCGTATGACCACCTGGTCTTTACCTGTACTAGCCTGGCTGACATACAGTTACCACAATCTATGATTTCTCTCTCACCTGCAGTATTCTGTATCTACACAGGCAGATACATATATACAAATTTCTCAGTGTCTTTATTCAACAAACAGTTGCTCTTCATCCATTTCCCCTACTTCTCAGTTGAGGAAAACATAATTTCCGAGAATGCGTCAGGGGTTATTAGGTGTTCTGTTGTATGTATTTGTTTGTCAGCCTTTTGGGGAATCACCGTTGGGCAAAAACTTGGCACATAAACATCACAAAGAAAATAAATGTTGCACTCAATCCAACACAGGAATGATGAACTTTAGATGACGTGAGGATGGTAAAATGTTGTGTGTCCCTTTTCATGACAGCATCTATGCAGAACTAAAATGCTGTGAATGATTTGTCTCACTGTGTACAAAGTGTTAGAAACCCATTTATTCAAGGAACCAGTACATCTAAATACCATACATGGCCAGTAAGATCTATGGACATTTACCCATAAGTTTGTTCAGCTCTCCCTGTGGCATAGCTTGGAAAGCTTCATTTGTTGGTGCAAATACTGTGAAGGACCTTGGCCTGTTCAGTGTTTCTGTGAGGCCTGCAGACTGGATTGCAGCCACTAAGGTACTGTAAAACATGCACACACAAACACAAATACATACACACACATTTAAAAAAACTTTGTCAGTATCATTGGCTCAAATAAACACCCAACTTTCTTTTTTTGGGGGAAAGGAAGGTAATTATACACAAGTATCAAGAACTGGCATGATGTGGTTCATGGGGTCGCGAAGAGTCGGACTTGACTGTGTGACTGAACAACAAATCAAGAACTAATAAAAATGTCTCTGTGTAATACAGAAGCCTCCAGCTCAAGCTTCATGTGTGTTCTAACATGTACATAATCCTTCTGAGCACTCAGATATTTTTCAATTGATTTCCTTTGAGGATGTGACTCTGTTCAGGGAAACGTTTTCAACAGAGCCCCTTCCTTCCTACCCTGCCTCTCCCCCCCTTCCTCAATTTTTTCTTCATAATAACTCTGTGAGGTAGGATAGGCTGAGAGAGTGTGACTCACCCAAGGTGACCCAGAAAATTTCCATGGCAGAGACAGAATTCAAACCCATGTCTCCCAGATCCAACACTATACCAACTTGCATGGAGGTAATAGGGGTTCAAAATTTCAGCTCAATTAAGAACTCAATGGCCAATCTTAGTCATCTCTACCTTGAAGCTGGAGTTCCTCAATTATAAAAATTAATATTGACTCACTAACCTGCATTCTCTCCTGGTAAGGATAAGATAAAGAATTATAGGGAATTTAATGTCTAGTTAAATTGCAGAAGTAATCTTTGGTTCATTGATTTCCCTGCATGGGAAACATTCCTTCTTTTAGTGTAAATTCTAATTAGGACTGCAAGGCCCATTTGAGATGCCAGCAGGGGGATGAAAGGGACTGCTCCAGGAGCTGAAAATGTTGCCCATGATGTGCCAACATCACCAGAAGTGATGTCATGCACCGTGCATACATCACCCCGAAGTGACATAGGCATGTCAGGGGTGACGTTCTGGTTTTTGGGCAAAACTCTATGGTAAAATCGCCCTCAAACCATTGAGTTTTGCACCAAAACCAGAGTGTCTCCCCCCCCAACATCACCAATGTGCCTACATCACTTCCAGGTGACATAGGCACGTTGCTCCACATTGCTGTTGGGGGGCATTTCCTGGCCGGCAGTGGGCAGGAGCCCGCAAAACTGGGTGATCCTCCACCCCCAACTGGGCCTGGCAATCCTAGTTCTAATCCAGTCATTAAAGGACATGCTTTTGCCCCCAAAATGAAAGTATTTTGACAGTTGTAGTCAAATAAAAGTTAGGCTTCATGCCATGAGACAGGATTTCATACAAAAGCCCAGAATTCATTTAAAAGGCTGCTGCTGAATCCATTATGAAGTAAAAGTGAAGCAGGAAGACAGTCATTCAGAACTCTCTCCGACAATATGAACACTCTGGAACCAGAATTTTATAGTGTGTACCCAACACAACTTCTGATATATTTCTCCGTAACAAAGAACATCATAAAGGCCCTGCTGGATCCAACCAGTGGTCCATCTAGTCAAGCAAACTGCTTCATACAACAGCTAACTAGTTGCCCTGGGGTCCAATAAACAAGGTGTGGAGACCAACACACGCATTCTGATGCTTCTGAATATGGCTACTTTAAGTGACTACAGCTAACTAGTAGCCATACATGTATGTACCTAGTCTCCATGAATCTGCCTGAAGCCATCCATGTTCACAGCCATCACTTTGTCCACTGGCACGGAATTCCCCAAGACTATGAGATTACTGGAGAAAAAGGCCTCAACTTTTAGCCTCCATCCTCCACCTATAATACCGATGTCCTGCACAGGGATCTTAGAATTGCCGATATAATGAGCTGAAATCTATGCAGCACAAGAGCAAAAGGCTGGTAATAGCAGGTGTTTCCTATCTCCCCTACCACCTGTGACCTTTGAAATGCTGAGGGCCTCTATGGACTAAAAGCCATGTAACATGGGTGGCTGCAGCAAGGAGAGGAAAGCAAGTGACACTGGCTTGGTTTGCTTCCTCTTCTGTCAACCTCCTCTGGCACTGGAGCCTTGGAAGTACTGCTGGAAGAAGAGGCAGGAGGGGAGATTTCACTTGGCTTTCCATCATCAGTGCAGCCCCCTTTGTTGAGGGCACAACTTGCTGTTGGTGAAAGGGGGAGGTGGGGAAAAGTCTGTGTGTGGGGGTTTTTTGTCCACCCAATTCTGCAACATCAGTGCTTTGAAGGTCTGAGGTAGCTTATTTTTTTTTGGGGGGGAGGAACAGTAAAGGGGAAAAAAATTCACCTGAAACGATCATCTGCTTTGAGGATATCCATAACAGTTCCTACAGGAGGAGTCAAAATCTTATCCACAGTGAACAAGGTGCCAAATCTTCCTCTTTTGTCATGGGCTGCAATGCAGGCATTTTCTATGCAGAGATTCTACAAGAAATACTGCATTTTAGTTACCGTGTGGCTATAAAAGATATATATATATTGTGTGTGTGTGTGTTTTGTGCTTGCCTGGAAGTCATGGTTGACTTCTGGCGACCCCTACTGGGGACGTGGACGTTTTTCAGAGAGGTGGTGTCTGGCGTGATATTACCTGCCTCTGCATCCTGCCTCTGGTATCCCTTGGAGGTTGCCCTTCCAAGTACTTGCCAGAGTTGGCCCTGCTTAGCTTCCAAGATCTGATGGGATTGGGCTTGCCTGGGCTATCCAGGTCAGAGCCTGTGTGGCTATAAAAGATTTTAAATGGTTGCTCCCATGTGAAAGACAGAACAGATCAGGGATCATTTTGTGTTACCTGAAAGCATGTGAATTTGGATTGTCTACCCAAATAGTAACTCTGCCATCAAAGCCAACAGATTACCCTCTGGGTCTTCATCTGTTTCTGACTGATGCTTGTCAAACAACATAGAACTGACAACTGACACTGTGATACTGAGTATTGTCACTTGATTGACAATACTCAGAATCATAGAGTCAGTTCTGTGTTGTTGGACAAGCATCCACTTTGAGTCAGAAACAGGTAAAGTGCAGAATTTTCAGGGAGGAGATCTGGATTGAAATCCTTGTTTCACCATGAAGGTTCACTGAGTGATCTTGCACTTACCCTTCCATATAAGGTTATTGTAAGGATAAAAAAATCTTGGTGGGTCACGTTATTAAGGTTCTTTATACATAATAACTATTATTATAACCCATTTATGATGCTGTGGACTGTTTTAGGAAGGTTGGAGTACAAATGCGATAGGACAGACTGATTAGTGAGGTACAAAACTTCATGCTGATATTTCTATGGAGTTCAGCTATATTTGTTCTTTGAGAGCTGTCAGGCAATGGTTCAGATAAATGATGTAACCACCTTGTGGACACTGACTAAGCAGACCTGGCTTGTCAGGACCTAGGCAGGAGACCTCCTAAGGTCCCTATATATGCTGTTTTAAGTTTCATGGTAGAAGAATGACAGAAAAGAAAGCTAATAAATCAAGGATGAGGCAATGCAATGAAAACGTACATTGCGGTACACAAATACTCGCAGCTTCTTGCCACTCAGCGTTTCCAGCTTCTGTCCATGATAAAGGTATTTAGAGGAAAGCTGTTCTTTAACAATGTGATCCAGGAGTAAGTTTCTGTCTGCAGATGCAGTGCGATCTGGAACGCAAAATGAGACCAGGACACCTCAATTTACAACAACATAATTAATAACTGTTGGAAAATACCCCTCAAAACGGAAAAAGTAAAATTATGCTATTGTTCATTGCTTTCCTTTAAGAATATAGCCTGTAGAGAATCAGAGTCTGTCTCTGTACCCATACCGGAGAGGTTATACATGAGTAAAGAAATGTTGCAGGTAGAAACTTATCATTTGCAGTGGGACTAGTCCTGATGTAACACTTTGATATTTCTCCAAAGAATTTTTGTTTGTTTGTTTGTTTTTTAAAAAAGAGCTCAGATTTGTGATAGAATGTATTTCATTAACACCATTCTTGCCTTACTTAATTTAGCTGAAGTGGAAGAGAATTTTTCCCCCCTGGTCAACTTGTCCCCTTTTTTAGTGACACAGACCACCTCTCTTGTAGCTTGTGGCTCAGTCACATGATTACTACATTCCTCCATTGCCCTGCCACCTCTCACAATAATAGCATTGAACAGTAATTCCAGAGGGGAAACAGTGGTAGTTTTTTTGCCACAAAACAAATGAAAAAGAGTGTTGTGGCACTTCAGCAGCTCACCGAGGCCCTAACCACACATTACAAAGTCTTCCATTCCCCACACATCCACCTTTGGTTCATGTAGGGGATATGACATGTAACATGTCATCAGGCCCCGAGGCATAATCTTTAATGAGGCAGAGTCAACTTTTCCCATTAAGCTTGGCAAGTACTGACACATAATTCTCTTTCTAAACTGAGTCTAATGGTAGGCAGGCCTTAGCCTCATAAGCATCTCTGGACTCTTGAAAGAAAAGGCAGGACCCAAATGTAACAAATGTGGAATGTTTCTTTATACTGGTAGAGAACCCAACTTGCTATTACTGCCACTAAGGAAATAAGTACAGGCACCATGCTGCTTATCTATATTTTCTCCCCGGCAGGATTACTAGTAGTGCCAGGGAAGGGATGCACAGTAGATTAGAGAAAAGGGCATGGGAGACGAAAATGATGAAAGCCATCTTCCCTCACCCTGAGCACCATTTCTGACCAAACCAGCTGTCTCTCACACAGGGATAGCTTATGTGGTGGTTCACTTGGATGGCTGTGGTTTCCTAAATGCTGCTACAGGGGGGAAAGAGGATTTGGTGTCTTTACCAGAGGGCACAAGAAGGCAGTTACAGAGGCATCAAGGCTGCTCCTCCAGCATTGTGCAGGCAAAGAACTACTGCATGATTAGCACAACTCTGCGCCAACAAGTGATGTCATCACCTACAGCTACCCACTTAGTAGTACCTCCTTTCCCTCCTTTGCTACTTCCTGATGCCCTCTGGTAAAGATTCCAAATCCCTTTCCCCCATCAGCACTGGACAGTGGTAGTAAATATAGTTCTTCCAGCAAAAAATACATGAGCTGTCCTTGTGCACTGAACAGCTTTGAAATGAAGAAGACGTGAGCACTGGTCATCAACAGAGTTGCACCTTTCTAAGCCCAATGATTTCAATGGACATAGAAGGGTTTAAGTCTGTTTAGGACTGCACTGTAAGAGGTGTATGTTCTGGCCCTAAGTGACAGCATAAATAGCTTGCTCACTTCAGCACTTCAGTTCCAAGTCCATGAAAACAGTTCTGTCAAGCAATCAATCAAAACTTTTAAAATCAATCTCCTATGTTTCAGTCAATGTGTTACGTCAATCAAGCAGCGCATTATGAACCTAATGAACCCTAACCCCCACTACAGGCACCTTGTTGCTGATAATAAGCAAATCCTACCACAGGACTTCGGGAGACAATGCCATTTTTAGTATTACTTCATGCTACAATCAAGCACAAGAAGTAAAGTAGCCTTAAGAAATAAATAAACACGACCTCCAGCCCCAGCAACTGAAACTGGCTCTCTCTGATCAAGACTGGTTCCTAAGTATCAAAACAAGGAGTCAGCATGTTTTCAAACAGTTCAGTCCTTTCTCTATCTGAAGCTACAGTGAGTACAATTTACTTTCTCCCTGTTTCTGCCCACACCAAGTTGTGGAGTGGACTAGGGCAGTCTAAAACACCAGAGTTGTCAAACACCATTGTTCCCACCAACTTAAACTTTAGAACAGAATTTGTTCCTAGTTCCTGCGCAGGCACAGCTCAGTGCACAGGGAAGGGACTGTCTTTGTGATGTACATATTGTGTGTATGCCTTTAACTGAACACTTACAAACGATATGGGAGGGGCCTCACTTAGTTCTAGTTCTGTCCCCACCAACTTAAACTTTAGAATAGAATTTGTTCCTAGTTCCTGCGCAGGCACAGCTCAGTGCACAGGGAAGGGACTGTCTTTGTGATGTACATATTGTGTGTATGCCTTTAACTGAACACTTACAAACGATATGGGAGGGGCCTCACTTAGTTCTAGTTCAGTGTATGTAGGCTGTAGTTCCAAGTGTGTATGAAGCAATAAAGAAGCCTGTTGCTGAAGATGCCAGATTCTCCTACATGCTGACTATCTGGATAGGTATGCCTACCTACACACTGGACCCCAGAGGATACGACAGCCTTAGGGGTGGCCCTAGCTAGGAACATAGGTGATTAGCACCAGAAACCCTGTAAGCCGCTCTGAGACCCTAGCCATGGGACAAAAGCGGGATATCAAGTCTAATGTAAATAAAATAAATAAAATAAATAGGTGTCAATGAGTCCCCTTCCCACACTTTGTTGAGCACACAATACCTACAGATGCATGGATCACACCCCTAGTTGATAAACAGAGCTGCCAACCTCCAGGAGGCGGCTGGAGATCTCCTGCAATTCTGACTGATCTCCAGACAACAGAGATCCATTCCCCTGCAGAAAATGGCTATATTTGAAGGTGGACTCTATGGCATTATACCCTGCTGAGACCCCTCCCTTCCACAAACCCCACCCTCCCCAGGTTCCACCCCCAAAATCTCCAGGAATTCCCCAACCCAGTGCTGGCAATCCAATGATAAAGCATACCAATTAAAACTTGGGGCTCTAATAATAAGCAGATAGCACTGTATATGGATGTCCAAAGTTTACCTTTGTAGAAGGAGTTGGTGGGGGCAAGAAGCGTCAGTCGTTCATTTCCAGTGAGGTGTGAACTGAGACCAGCTTGTCTAAAGAGGTCAATGGATGTTGAGACGTCGGATTCCTCTCCCAATTCCAGCAAAGTTTTAGCTTTTTTAAAAAGGAAAAAAAAAGTCAAAACTATTCTTTGAGGTACAATAAATTATTGTTAAGTGTTACTCTATGTGAAGACTCCTGCACATTCCTTGGACAGCAAAGGTGACAAACAAGCAAGTACTGGAGCGCATAAAATCAGACATGTCATTAGAAGAAAAAAATCATAAAACTGCGACTGACTGATTTTGGCCATGTCAATGTGGAAGAACTCACTAGAAAAAGCAATTATGTTTGGATTGGTTAGTGGCAAAAGGAAACTGGGCCACCAAAGAACATGGTGGCCAGACACCATATAAGTCAAAACCAGCCTGAGCATGGACCGACTCAAAGAAACAGTAAAAGATCAGAAAACATGGAGAGAGCTGGCCCATAGAATTGCCAAGAGTCGGACATGTCTGAATAGCTAACAACAACAACAACAACGACAACAACATTACTCTATGAACGGCCTCAGAAGGTGACAGAATTATAGTTGTCAAGCTAAAACATATATTAAAGTGCTGTACAAATTATATGGATTTTTAAAACCAGTCATGAACAGCTCTAATGAGTTATTTCTCACTATCAATTATCACCTGTCAGTATACCTTGTAATTTGTTGCTATTTTAAAACAACAAAACAAAACAAAAATGAATTCCTATGTTTTTAAAAATAAAAGCTAATTTTTATCTTTTTCTTCCCAATAAGAACCAATCATAAATAACCCCATTTTAGCAGTGGGAAAGGTCTTCTTAGTTAAATAAGCCAGTAACAGACAAACCTTTTGTGGATACAGGTCAGCTCACATATGTGAACCACGAATCCAGGAACTGAGTTATGAAATTTTACTTTACTATCACACTTCTCTCCACCAGGCAGTGAGAGGGATGTAGCAAGATTTCGTCTGGATATTACTACCAACTACCTAATCAGATATTCTTACAGTCACCCCTGGATCCTAGATTCTTCCCAGACCAACCAAAACACACACACACACACACACACACACAAAAGAAAAATAATGTAACTTGCCACAGGCATCCATGGTGACCACAAACCTCAGATTTTTCCCTCCCCAGATCCCCACCATCTCAATAGCCCTGTACCTAATAACTGATTGGGGCTACTTCTTTAACAGTACCAATCAGATCTCAGAGATGGTAGGTAGGAAAAGTCCACAAGTGCAGCTGTGGGTGTATAGCTTTCTACTGAATTTGAGATTCCATGGACTGGGGGTAAGTCTCTGCAAAACGGTCAAACATCATCATTTAGTTTTCATGCACTTTAGAGTATGAGAACAGGCAAAGAAAAAAGGTGAAAGGGGGGCATTATTCATTTCCTTGCTACTTCTTTTTCCATTGAAACTCCCTCTACTACTAAAGCTTCCTCCACAGAGTTCCATATCAATGTCTGCAAGGGCAAACACAACGGCTTCAAAAGGGAATTAGATAAGCATATGGAGCAGAGGTCCATCAGTGGCTATTAGCCACAAGGTATAGCTAGGGGCTCTGGGGCAAGTGATGCTCTGTCTTCTTGGTGCTTGGGGGGGGGGTCAACAGTGGGAGGGCTTCTAATGTCCTGGCCCCACTGCTGGACCTCCTGATGGCACTGGTATTTCTGGCCACTGTGTGACACAGAGTGTTGGACTGGATGGGCCTTTGGCCTGATCCAACATTGGCGTCTCTTATGTTCTTATGTTCTTAACACTGGAACACCATATGGAAAAAAGCAGCTGGGTGTGTGTGTGCTGAGGCAGCAAACAATCAGCAGACATGGTGGCCCCTGTCCTCCACCAAGACACAAAAAATGGTTTCTCCTGAAGCTATTTCTGTGTACGTGTCTATCTATGTACTTTTCCTAAATCAAGAGAAGCTGGAAAATTAGGGTCAAGCAGAGGTCTCCCAATGTAGCTAGGTCATTTTGTTGCAAAGACTGCTTCATCTCGAAGCCCTACATAATTTGGAACAACAATGAGGGGAGTGAGTGGACAAAACTGTAGAACACAGTCTGCTTTGCTGGCAGGTTCTCATGGTCTGTTCACCATAGATCTAGGGGGGAAAGTCATGGGGATTAAATGGCACTGTTTACATTTGATTGCATGCTTGCTATCAGAAGGGGAAAAATATTTTAAAAGCTTTACCTGAGTCTGGGATAAGAAGTTCGTTGACAAAGTGTATCACACCATTGGTTGCTATGACATCCTTGTTTGCAATGATGGGCCTTCCATTGAGAGTCAGTTCATCGCCATTACAGCCCACTTCCAGCATTTTACCCTCCAGTGTTTCCACTGATAAGCCAGCAATAATGGCCTCAGCACACATGGCCGATTTCAAGATGTGGTGGCTCAACAGATCTACAGAGGCACAGAGGAACGTTAAGAAGGGGTTTGAAAAAGCTGATTGAAAATGACCACTTGTGTACCACCACACACAGATTTTCCTTCGTACTCTACTGGAGGAAAGGAGTTATCTTACAGTGCAGTGTTTCAGGACAGAGATACATCTGTGTATAGGGAGATGATCACAGCCTCCATGAGACACAAACCACAAGAGGTTGGAATGGGAGGAAAGTTCTGTAGCTATTGGCACCCCTTGTAATGTTCTCAGGTGGTGGTGGAGAGTGCCATCAAGTCACAGAGACCCCTGGTGGTGTTTTCAAGGCAAGAGACACTCAGAGGTGGTTTTGCCCTTGCCTGCCTCTGCATCACGACCTTGGACTTCCTTGGAGGCCTCCCATCCATTTACTAGCCAGGGCCGACCTGCTTGCCTTCGGAGGTCTGACAAGACTGGGCTAGCCTGGACCATCCAGGTCAGGACTTGTAATGTTCTCTAGTAGCCAGAAAATGCAGATCATTTTTATTCCCTGTTCCCGAAAAGTGGTATGCATAGGCTTCCCAGGTGCATGGCAATGACTGCTGCCCCCCCCATAAGTACCCGCCTTCCCTCATCTCCCAGTGTCAAGCTTTGCCTGGCAGCCCTCGGTATGCATGTTCAGACGGCTTGGCTTAAAAAGCAGATTACATATTTTTCTGTGAGGGTCTTTATACACTGTTGTTTTTCATGTTAGTTTGGATACAAGGAACTTTATTCCCATTTAAAGGCACAAAGCACTGGCTTTAATTGTGCACTGTTTCTCTCTGGGGAATAAAAAGATCCCATGTATTTTTTTAAAACGTTTACCGCCTTCCTGTTAGAAAAGTTGGTACAGCCAGACCACTGCTGACTTAGTAAATCCTTTAAAGTGCTGACTAGCTTGTAGCTGCTGCTAGTTATTGCTCATCTAGTTCCCCAGGCCTAGTGCTGATCATCTTTACTGTTGCTCAAGCAGTTCCCCCTGTTTTTGGATTCAGTGGATGTCCAAAAGCAGGGGGAACTAGATGAGCAACTGTCTCCTGGTTAATGAGTCAGTGCTAACACAGCTTTTCCTCTGGGCTTTCTCTGTCTGTAAGGCAGGAGTGAGAAGTTTGGGGCAAAGCAGCATTATATGTTTACAACTTACACAAAGACAGCACATCAACCTGGCACTGGGGAGATGGATTTGTATGTGTGGTCTATCAGTCTTCTGCCTTTGAAAGGAAAGAGACAGGTCCACCTTCTCCTGATGGCCTCTTTCCCACCAAGTTGTTAGCCCAAAGATATTTGCTGTCCCTCTCAGATGAACTAGCGAGCAGCGAAGATGGAAACTAACAGTCATGTTCTAAGCAGTTATACCACCTTTCTAAAACCACTGAAGTTAATGAACTTAGAATACGGTTGCCAGGTTCTGCCTCCTCCCCAGCAGGGGACTTTGGGGGGTGTTCCTGGAGGGGGCGGGGATGTCCCCAACACAATGACATCACACAGAAGTGACATTATCATGTTGGGAGTGCAGCCCCATGGAAGGTGCCCTTGGCGCCAGCTTGCAAGAAACATTTAAAGGGAACTCTCCCTTTAAATGATTTTTGCAAGCGGGGGCACTGGCACCCCACACATCTGAACCCTAAGTGGCAAATTCACCACTTGGAGTTCAGGCATGCATGCCCCCTGCTTGCAAAAAGTGTTTAAAGGGTCCCTTTAAATGCTTTTTGTGAGCGGGGGCTGCATGTGCCTGAACTCCAAGTGTCACTGTGTGCCCCTGAACTCCAAGCATGCGGCCGGTGGCCACCTCTCTCTCTCCCCTCCTGCAAGATTTAAAGGGTTCTCCAGCTGATTGGCGGGCCATGTGCTCCCACCGATCAGCTGGAGGGCCCTGTAACTCTTGAAGGAGGAGAGGGAGTGGGGTGGCCGCAGGTGGTTGCTGTTGGGGGCAGGGCTTCCCCCAGCCAGCCGACTGGGAGGCAGCGGGCAGGAGCCCACAAAATCAGGAGATTCCCTGCCCCCACCTGTGGACTGGAATCCCTAACTTAGAAGGGTATAATTATACTTTGGACTGTACTGTGAAATCCCAACAGCTTTTGAAGAAAAGTTATGGGGGGTCTGAATTCCTCCAGTTATTAGAGAGATATCATCCTTAATTCACACATTACTCCACTCCTGGGTCTAGGAAAATAATGATTTACTGCCTTCTTTCATGAGCATTATTCAGTATCCAACAGGAATTTACAAATTTGGGGCAGCATTTGAACCTCCTCCTGAGGTCTTTAACAGAAACACATGGACCCCACTCGTGGTTCTGTTGGCTTTTAAACTGATTGCTAGACTGGTACAAGTGTTCAAATGCTAACCCAAATTTCGGAGTTCCAATCAGCCACTGAGTAATTCTTAGAGCATACTTCAGGCTGGATCATGTCCATTATTAACATGGGCAGGCTCAGATTTGCAAATGGTATTCTTGAACTATGAAACATGCTTTTAGAAACCTGTCTTAAGAGCTGGAATAATAATGGAGTCAACTGAAACAACTAGAATGCTACTGAACTTCTGCTCAAAAATCCCCACTTTATTTTTTGCTTATCCTTTCAGCAAACTAAGTCTTTATTTCTGCACCACCTTTTGTTCCCTCACACTGAATATTAATTTTATTTTTGCATCAATTATGTATGAATGACATATAACAAAAATAGCATAAAAGAGGAGGAAAGGGCATGAAAGAAACAAGCTGATCAGGAACAGGAGAAAGTGGATGGAACAAAAGGCTCAAACAAAAAGAAGCAAGCATAGGGCTTATTTGTTCATCCCTAAGGGCGGCTGCCCAGGTCATTACCCCTTCAGATGCTATTTCAGTGACCTCTACAGCTGCCTCCACGTCTTCTAAGCCTACTGATTACCATTTTTCTACCAACTGGTTAAAATGGGCAGGATGGGACAGCTACAGAATGCCAGCAAAACAGTATTATGCTCCAAAGATACATCCTGCCCACGTTGCTCACTAACCCTTATAATATTATCAGATTTCCTGCAAAGCACACAGTCCAGGTTTATCGCTTCTTCCTCCTCTAATGTCTGTCTATTCTTTATAGCTATACATTGGAGACTTGTCAAATGACTGTTCACCTTTTAAAGCTTCTGGGTCTCCTAGGATCCTGTTCAGAGTTTCTTGTGGGATCTTCTCAAAGGCCTCATTGGTAGGAGCCAACAAAGTAAACTGGCCCTCACTGTCCAATAGATTGTTAAGACCAGCAGCTGCCACAGCTGCCTGTAAATAAATGTGAGAGAGGTAGAATTGGAGATGTTAGAGCTCATTCCGTGACAAAGCAAACTAAATAGATTGCCAAGAAAATAATTCCACCTTCAGTTGCATTGAAAGATATAATGGAACCATCTGACATAAACTCACCCTAAGGGTCTCAAGGCTTTCTTCAATCTCAATAATTTGCAAGATGCTGTTTGTTGTTGTAGAAATGACTTTGTCTATGAGATGAACCACTCCATTAGTAGCATGATGGTCAGCCTTTAGTAACCTCGCACAGTTCACTGTAACAATCTGCAAAAAACATGGAAAAGCTAAGTCCAAAACTGAAATGAGCATATATTCTTCACATTAAAGTATTTATGTAGTAACATATTCACTAGTTGGAAGAATGTCAGTTATTTCATCAGGATCCTCACTTGGATCCACTAGATCAATTTCTATAGAGAGAGGGGAGAGGGGCATTTTCCCTGATTCCCCCATCCCGTTACAGCCCGTCAGCTCTAAACAATCCATCCAAAAACCAATCAATGATACTCCTAATTTTTTTTTTGTCCCAAGAAGTTTAATAATTGGTACTAGGACAAGAAACCATAGCTTCAGTAGTATTGAGAGCTCTACCAAATACTTACTCCGTTTGGATAATGATGGATCTGGATATCAATATTCTGGTACATTGAAGGGAGGCTTGTTCCATGTTTCAGGTCGTCAGTCAGGACTCGCCTATTCACCATGTGGTAGCGAAGAGCATTTAGCAGCTCAATGTTAACATTGCTCACCAAAGAATCCAACATTTCCTAAGAACAAACAATATTGTACCAATTATGACTCAATTCCACTGAACATATTCCGCAAGAATCATGAATATACCATTGCAATAGTGCTGGTTATCTCCGTCTACCTCTGTAGATGGAAACAGGGAAATGGGTGCCTGGTCTGCATCAGTCACCCAGTGTAGTTGCTGCCCCATTCATAGTAGCTTGTTTAACGGGGGCTTTCTAGGCACTTTTCCTAGATGTGAAGGATTATGCATGCTTCAGTAGACCATTGTGTTCAGGGGATAGATGGAATTAAAAATCCATGGAATACACAGATCCTGACCAACTGATCAAGGCTGCCATGAACAAAATTACGCCGCTTCAGTTACTCCATTGTAAATCTTGTGATAGTATAAGTGTTCCCAAGTAGGGATTGTGGTTTTGTTGTTACCCCTTCACCACACTGAGTTTAGAGCTTTCCTCCAGTACCATGAACCTTCTCTGGAAGAAGTCTCTGCACTGAGGTGAGTGGAGTGTAGACTCTATCCTGTGGTGTTTTCATGGACTTGCATTTTTATTGATGTCTCCATCTGGTTCCTTACAGCAAAAGGTTACATGTATCTTACTGTGCATTTCCAACACTTTTATTCTGTGGCAGAGGATTTCATGTTTCCCATACCAGCCAACATTCAAGAAAATGAAGATGTAATTTTTCTTACAGCAGGCAAAGATGCCCAGGCCTCATTGGTTGGAGCAAAAATCGTGTAGCTTCCAGGGCCGGTGATTTCAGCACTCAGGTTTGAGCTGGCAGAATAGAGCTGAGTGGTAGTGGCCCCAACAATGCCAAGTGTTTCATAAAGATTTGCAAGTGGCAAAGCTGTTTTCCAAAAAATAAAATAAAAAAAATTAACAAGGCAACAGTAACATTACAGTATTTCACAATAATATTTCAAATTTAAAATAAAATAGGATGATGGCACCAATTTAATGATGTGTAGCTGCAAACCAAGATAATGAGATTGAACAGATTTGGGACCAGCTTGCGAGCCAGATATAACTGGAAAAAGGTGCTCTTAGCAACAGCACCAATCTGCTTAACCATCAACAAGTGCCCCCAAGCTCTTAACTTGGTCCTACCAATGAACTCTTAATCAACACCAGCCAAACATGCTGTCTTCACAACCAGCATCACCTCCTTCTTGTACAGATTAAGTCACTTGATCACAGCCTCAAGACAGTGACCCAGAAGCTGCCTCCACAAGCTTGAATAATGAGAGACAACTATTGTTGACAACCCATTCCAAATATTGTTGACAACCCATTCCAAAATTTCTGATGATCTCATCCCATGATCTTACACAGATATTGAAGAGTACTGGGGATAAAATGGACCCCTTTGGTATCCCACATATCAGGTCCCTAATGACTGTGACTCGCTCTCCTTAGGTAACACTTTTTGCCTACCAACAGGAAAAGACCAAAACCCACAAAGGGCAATTCCTTTATCTCAAACGCTTATTGCAGTCAATCCACCAACATATGACAGTTGACCATATTAAAGGCTGCCAATGTGTCTAAAAGCCTCAGCAGCAGTGGTATGCCCTTATCCTTATCTGTAGCCAGAAACTATTCACCAAGGCCAATAGAGCTGTTCAGTCCTGAAACCCTGCCTGAAGACCGACTGCAATGAGTCAAGGGCAGATGTCTGATCCCGAAATGCCTGCACAGCCTGCAGTTGCTGTGCCACAACCTACCTTAGACACTTTGCCCAGAAAGGGGAGAGTGGAAATGGGCTGATAACTGCCCATATCCCCCCCATACAAAGCTTTTATTAAGAAGAGCTTCTTTTACCTGTGAAGGAAACCCCTTGAAACAAGGATATACTATTAACCTTTCCTAATGGAGCTTCTCCAAGCTTGATTTTAACAGCCAGGATGAACAAGGATCCAGTTTGTGTGAACTGGCCTTCACAGCCCCAAGCATTCTGTTGACATTGATCAAGCAGACCAATCTGAAACACTCTGCAGAGCTTTATCTGAAGCACCCAGCATAGGATCTACCCCAAACAGGCGTCTAAATTGGACTGGATGAGAGTGACTGATTTATATCAACAATTATGAACTTTAAGAGCAAAGAATCAAACAAAATGATCACAGTTAATATCTGCACCAGAGTCAAGAATGTTAGGCCAAGATGACATTAGGCCCCAAACCACTCTAAATAATTTTGTTGGACAAGATTCAGCTGATGCAATAGTAGCAGAAAAGAATGCTGCCATTGGTGCCACCTTGCAGGGGCTTTTTTCTGTCCTATCTGGTACTAGTTTTCCACCAATGACACTCTAGCTGTCTATCCAACCTCTTCATAACCCCAACTCCCTGGGAAAACACAGAACACAGGGTCAAAGCCCTTCTTGAGGAAAGGCAAGGGCGCTAAGGATCAATCCTTTCAATAGCACCCTGCACACCAGCATTCCACACCAATAATACAAGGACCTCTACAGAACCACTATCCAGGCTTTTAAAACTCCCCAGAGCCATTAGGAAACCAACAGAATCCATTAGTTTCTGGGGACAGACCAGTCTGCCCTTGTGGATAGGGGAAGGAAACACACCTTTATCTTCAACACTTAATGATCTGACCATGGCACAGGTTATAAAATCAATCCCCTACCAGATCACCACTGGTACAGAAGACAAGATCCAACACACATCCTTTCTCACGTGCTGGGCCCCAAACAACCTGGGAAACTGCCACGGTCGCTACAGTAGCCTTGAACTCTTGAGGCAGACCAGACAGGGAGGCCTCAGAGTGGCTACTTGAAGTCCCCCAACACCAAAGGATTTGAGCTCTGCAACACCAGCTCCATCAGCTCAGTGAAGGCTAACTACCAGCAACCCAAATCTTTGAGCCAAAACACAATCACATGGAAAGGAAAGGTCTGAAACTCTTTTTTAAAATTTGCATAGCCATTTCACTCTAAGTTGCGGTGGAAGAAAAATTAAAGGAAAAGCAGCTTTGTGTACCTACCAGTAGTTTAAACAGGAAGTGATAAAGAGTAACCCAAGGAATCACTGGAAACACTGTTGTCGCCACAGAATTTCCAGTGATTCCTTGAACTAACTTCTGGGATAGCTCTAGGAATTGCTGGAAACTCTGTGGTTCTACCACAGAATTTCCAATGATTACAAGAGCTACCCTTTGTCACTTCCTATCGATACTTTGGGGGAGAACATAAGGCTGTATTTTTTTTATTATCCTACAATGCTGTGCCCCCCACAACCCTTCCCACGTGTTCCGAGGCACAACCTGGCAACCCTATGCTGAGGAATATTATTTAAAATGTATTTAAATTTATATCTCAGTTTTCTCTCCTCGGGTACACCAAATAGCTTTTCACATTATTTCCCTCTGCCATTCAATCCTCACAACAACCACCTTGTGAGGGTACGTTAGGCTGAGAGACTGTGACGGGCCTAAGGTCACCTGGCAATTTACAGTGGGTAATCAGCAGAGAAGGAAATGGTCAAATACCACTTCTACTAGCTACCAATGATTCCATATTGTCTCATGTTCTTGTTTTTATTTTGCTTTATTTTATTTACCAGCTGGGCAGCCTTTCTCCCCTGGGACTTCTTCATATCCAGGACAACACTCATAGGCTATCACTCTGCAATGAAAAAAAGATACAGCAATATTAACAGAAATTACTAACTATAACTTGTTCAGAAAAACTGTAGAGTACCACCCTCCCACAGGGCTGGAGCGCTGGACATCGCAGTAACACATGTTTAAATGCTTTCCTTTTCTTACATATAGGAAATGAACATATGAGGTAGACGGCTATGTTCTCAATGAGATGCTGGCATTCTACATGCAGTGGATTTTGTACATAGGGTGGCATTCAACCCAGGCCAGCAATCTTGTCTCTAAATGTTCAGCTAAGAAGTACCGTATATTAGCTTGGATCCACCAGACATTTCCACAAACAGAAGGATTTCTGCTTGTAAAGTGTGACATATCACCACATCCTGCTGCAACTCCAAATGCTCCCTGAAATACTGCTTTTGGGAGGTCCCTGTCCCCAAAAGAAGCATGGTGTGGGGCTTTGGGACTGGGTGAAGTTAATGTTGATGCCTACGATCACATAAGCTTTGGCTTCACATAAACCAAATCTCCTACATGCAGCTGTTCAAAGGTTCTGATTTGCAGTAGAAATATATGTATGTCAAAACACAAGATCTTAGTCTCACCTGTATAAGCCCTAAGCATAATTTCAAAGCCAAAATCTGTGAATTGGACAAAATCCGCACAATTGCATAAATTTTCTTATTCTTCATCCTTTAGATTCCTTTCTGAAAGCCATGGACATGGGTGTGGAGCTATGCAGGGCACTTAAGTCCCCTTAAGGTCAAGAAGCATATGATGCTCTGAAGCCTAAGTATGTCTGTGATTGCCACAGATCATCACCATATGCTGATGGGGGGGGGGGGGGGTGGGAGGGTCTAATACTTTCGTTTAGATTTCTAGTGTGTTTCCAAGCTGTCAGATTTCAATATTAAATTGACTGGCAGTGCAGCCTAGTCCTTGGAGGCCTCTACCAACTCATCACCTCTTTGCAAATTGTAGAAGCTTTAAGTACTTTGTTTAGCTGTGAGCCTCTTGCCTAGTAACAGTCCCTTGTGTTGACTTTGCAGGGAACCATGTTGCAAGTACTATGTTTTGTTAGCAGATTAGGCTATTTTGGGAACCCCTGGGCTTGCACACCATATTTAATCACTGTTTGGATAACACTGTAATTCCATTATGTTTATTATCTTAACAAAGCAAACTAATGTTTTCTCTCCTTGGGCCCCAGAGCTGAAATAATAACTCTCTCCTCAAGAGATGCTTTTTGCTCACATACATCAAAGTGTAATAGGGCTCCCATCTGACAGCTCTAGGTGTTTATCCCTAGTTGTGGGTGGTTTTATTTGTCTTTGATACCTATTTTAATGAGTACCGCAAAGATCTCATTTATGCTATCAGCAGTCAAGTAAGCAAAGTGGCAAACACAACCCCGTGAAATAAACCAAACTGCAACTCCAATTAGACATATTGTAAGGGCTTTACAGGGAAAAGTTGGTCCATTATACACTAATGAACAGTCTGAGACATTTAACAGCCAGCAGCTTGTTCTTTCACTGTCTTTTATTTAGAGCAGGGGTGTTGAACTCATTTGTTACAAGGGCCGGAGCTGACACAAATAGGACTTTGTTGGGCCAGGCCATGCATGTCATAAAATGTAATGCCAGGTAGCACAGATATAAACTTTATAAAAGATACAAACACAAAGATATGTTTTTACTTAAAATACAAATATGCTTAAAACTCTTGCAATGTTTTGTTTATTTAACAGTCTTTGATAACTGATACCTCACAACCCCCCCCCTTAAAAATGCCTGCCTAAAATGGAAAGGTGAAGAAATAGTGGGATTTGGCAATGCAATTTTTAAAATAAAACATAAAGAAAAAGCACAAGGATACCAGAAACTTGGAATGAAGACTTAATAACTTTGATACACAAACAAAACTCGGATGAAAAAGAAATAAAAAACTATAGACCAATTTCCTTATTAAATGTGAACTATAAAATCTATGCCTGTATTCTAGCAACAAGATTGAAAAAATATTGATGCAGATAATTCATCAAGATCAAGCAGGTTTTCTACCAAAAAGACAAGTCAGAAACAATGTAAAAAGTATTTTAAATACAATTGAATATTTTGAAGCACATCCAGAAAAACAAATGGCCTTAATCTTTTTAGATGCTGAAAAAGCATTTGATAATGTTAGTTGGAGTTTTATGTTGGAACAGTTGTTAGCTTCACAATGTGGTAAAGAGTTTTTTACAATGGTCAAAGCAATTTATACTAGACAACCAGCAAGAATTCTTGTAAATGGAGATTTATCACAAAATATTAAAATTCAAAAAGGAACCAGACAAGGTTGTCCACTTTCACCACTATTGTTTATATTTGTACTAGAAATACTGAATAACAGGATTAGAGAAGATATATATATATATATATCAAAGGAGTGAAAATAAGAGAATAAGAATATAAATTACAAGCATTTGCAGATAATTTGGTATTTATTTTAGAAAACCCAATGGATTCAATTACACAATTATTAGCAACATTGTTGGAATATAGTCAGGTAGCTGGATTGAAAATTAACCTGATTAAGACAAAAATGTTAACAAAAATATGACTAAAGATCAAGTGCAACAGCTACAAGAAAAAGTGGGTTTTTAAGCACAAAAAAGTGAAATATTTAGGAATAAATATAACAAACAGATATAGCTCCTTGATCAAAGACAACTATATGGAACTTATGTTAGAAATTAAGAAAGATTTGGAAAAATGGAAAAATCTACAAATATCCTTGATGAGCAGAATAGCCACAATAATGATTAATATTCTTCCAAGATTGGTTTTTTTCGTTTCAAACAATACCAGTTCTTCAAAACCAACAATATTTTAAAGAACTTGATAAAGTGATTTCACAATTTATATGGCAGAATAAGAAACCAAGAATACAAATGAAAGCTTTACAAGATGCTAAAGAAAGAGCTGGATTTGCATTACCAGCTTGGCTCTTATACTATAGAGCAGCAGTGTTGTCGTGGATAAAATAATGGATCACATTAGAAAACACTAGATTACTAACTTTGGAGGAACATGATTTATTATTGAGTTGGCATGCATTCATGTGGTATGGAAAATCAGATATACATAAATATTTTAAACAACATTTGGTTAAAAAATCCTTATTGATGGTATGGGAAAACAGTAAAAAGTTATTTTACACTAAAACACCCAAATGGAGCTCACCACTTGAAGCTTTTACAAATCCTAACTTATTGCAAAAAATGTTGTTAAGATATGAGGATTTGTTAGACAATAAAAATGAATTAAAAACAATAGAAAAATTTAAAGAACAGGAGAATAATATAAATCAGTGGGAAAGGATACAAACAGAGTCGAGATATGCTAAAGACAAACAAATGGGTTTCTATGTAAATATAACGTAAATAGATAAGGTATTGTTATATGCTGATGATAAATCGATTAAGAAATTGTATAAAATAATGTTAGAAGATATAATGCAAGATGAAATAGTTGAAAACTGTATGGTTAAATGGGCATAAAATCTGGGTCACAATATTGATCTAGAGAAATGGTTGTGTGTTTGGAAAACAAATGTAAAGACCACCAAAGCGACTTCCTATAAGGAAAATATATAAAAAATGTTTTATAGATGGTATATTACTACAGATAAACTAGTTAAATTTTATCTGGACTTACCAAAGGATTGTTGGAAATGTCAAAATAATACTGGTCCTTTTTTCATATGTGGTGGACATGTGATAAAGCTAAAAAATATTGGGCTTGGATACATGAACTGTTACAAAAAGTGTTAAAAACTACTGTGCCTTATATACCAGAGCTGTTTTTCTGGCTATAGTACCAGAGAAATATAATAAGCAAGACTTTTATCTCTCAATACATATAGTGACAGCAGCAACTGGAGAAAAAGTGAAGTTCCCTCAAAGGAAGACATTAAAAATAAAATATTGGAAACAGCAGAGATGGACAACTTAACTGCAATTTTGAGAGGACATAATAAAGAAGATTTTGAAGACACATGGTCAAGATTTTATAAATGGATAGAAGAGCATACCATATAAAACTCCTGGACCTATAACCCAAATATAAAGAATAAGAAATAGAGATGTGAAGGCCCGGAAAAAAACCGGAAAAATTCGGGAAAAAACCGTTTTCCCCCCTGAATTTTTGTTTTTTTCCGAAAAATTGAAAAAAGAAAAGAAAAGAAATTGATTATGGAATGTTTTATTTTAACATGATAAATAAAATATTTTAAGACAGGGTGTTCAAATATTTTCCAAATCATTTCTAAAATATATAATGGTATCAGATTGATCTAATTTCTGTGCACTGAGGACAAGCAAGTCCTAGGTTACAAACTGAACTCTCCAATGCAAGAACAAGATGCATTTCTTCCTTTAGGAGGTGCGATTGTCAGAAGAAAATAAAAAGGTTTCAGTTTTGTTTTTGCATATGGGTGGGTATTCTGTTTGTAATAATTGTTTGGGTACACTATATTTTTAATATGCTAGTTGTGATAATTTCATGCCAAGTAAAAATGTCCATAGTCATTTTTTATGTTCCTAAAGTAACAGAATGACTTTCAATCTAGAAAATACAAAAGAAATGCTAATGTAGCATTTTTTTCAATTTTTCCAAAAATTTCCGTTTTTTCCCGGAAAAAATAAAACGGAAAAAAACCGGGGTTTTTTCCGAGCTTCAAAATTTCCGGAAATTTTACATCTCTAATAAGAAATAAGAACTATATATTTAACTGTGAGCAAAAGGTACATATTAAAATTATATGGTGGAAGAAGAGAGGGCGGTGGCGGTACAGTTACAGAGCTACCTGGATGATGCCTCCATCCTCGATCCCTTCCAGTCCGGCTTTCGCCCGGGTCACGGGACGGAGACTGTTTTGGTCGCGCTGACGGACGACCTCCGTAGGCATCTGGATCGCGGCGGCGTGGCCGCACTGGTGTTGTTGGACCTGTCGGCTGCGTTCGACATGGTCGACCAC